ATTTCTGAAATAGACAGGCACATAAATGATCATTTCTGTGTGATGATAATTATCTTACTTTTGAGCAACAACAGAAACAGCACCATGTTTGCTGCATAGGAACTTCTTGATACCTTCACCATTGTTTTCACTGGTGACCTTTTTCCCCTTGCCACGTTGTCCATTTTTAGGCATTCCTACAAACCTGGTATCAATGTCTTTCCCAATTTCTGTCACCTTCTTGTTGCAGTCTCTACATCCTAAGTAGCACCACTCAAACTCCTTCACCAATCCAGTAATTTTAGCAAAAGTAACCACATAGCAAGGCTGTTTGAATTCAGATCAACTTGATAGTTAGATTTTTACGACATACACATAACATTTTGAAGATAACATTCAGAATATGTCATTACCTCCTCTAACTCCTTAATCTCAGAGAGGGTTAACATTGATGCATCCTTCACGAAGTCTTCATAAGTATTATATCCAGATATGTTAGAAAGTATAGAAATCCGCTGGACACTTGCATCCATATCCTCAATATCCTCCAATCTGTGAAATATGAATAATACATGAATATGAACAAACAGGTAAAATATGCTGCAACAAAATATAGTATACAGACACATTTATTTAATAGAACCTCATTTTGTTGTCTAAAATTGCACGCATAGACATGTCATTTAGGAAGATTCTACCATTGTACATATTAGTGGTGACTGAAGCCCTTGCTGTTAAGATTTAAAACACAAAAAAATAATACAGTTGGCAACAGGGGATTTGAATAAATAAAAAGTTTAATTTTGATGCAAATGAAATGACTCACAATTCCACTTCTTGCACTTCACATATTGCACAATAAGCACTACCGGCATTACTGGATGATCAACCATCATTGCTGATATGGCATCATCATTTCCATTCCACAGGGTGATCTTCAACCTGTCAGCCCTGTGTAAAAATTCATGATATAAAAAAGCTTAATGACATATTGTTTGGATATGTATAATGATCATATTTTAAAAATAGATCTAAGAATGTACCTTTCATCCTCCAGCTCCACAGATATCCTCTTCTTCTCCCCGTCAATGATCAGCTCACTAACACCAATAACATGTCCAATAACATCTGGATAAAACTATGGTATTAGAAGATTCATAGGTTTAATTATATCAAAACAGAAATTGTAATAATATGAGGATGGAAAGTATATACCAAAACAGAAATCAAAATTCGCAATGAAATTTGAAATCTCAGCGAAAGGAGTGAATTTAAACATATGGTTAGGAATATCCAAATCAACAACAGCATCCACAGCGGTGTTAGGTTTAAACACGATTTTGTATTCGTGGTTTGAACAACGGTAACCACCAACATTGTTCAAAGCATGATCAAAACAGGATATTTGCCGAATATAGCCTTCTTCGAAGTAGTTGATAAAAGTGTCCATAAAGCTTTTAGGGATGGTAGCCTGAATCTTTCCACCCTATATTCCAAAAAGATATTAGTATACAGTGATCTAAATGGTTTCTATACACTTCATAGTAGTTTAAGACTTAAAAGATCGAAATATCTAATACCTAAGCATCAATGAATATGAGTTCAAGTGACTTGATTTGTTTCTGATCTGCCTTTATGTACATCTTCCAGATTGACATGACACGAACTATGATTCTGAAGTGTAGACTTTTGGTGCTTATCAAGCCGTTAATATCTGCAATATACCTCTGAGCACCAGCCATTGAAAGGTGATGAAGAGCAAGAGAGGTACCAAAGTCTGAAAGGGATGATTCAGCGTTATTTGATGGTGGTTCACTGGTGGCTATACCTCGTGCCATATAAACATATTTATACAGGTATTTCATAGCCTTGATAAGTATGGTTGTTTGATAATCAATGGCAAGAAAATCTGTTTTATTTTTCAAAATATGATGATCGGATATGCATTCATAATACATGGATATATATATATATATGCATAATTTTGGGTGAAATTTGATTTATGATCTTGAGTATAAATGTTGATTGACACCAACATGGCTTGATTCGTTAATGCTTGGTGATGGTAACTGTAAAATTTTATCATCTTTTGTAGGGCTTTGAAAATTTAAACTCCAATGTAACAGTTTAAAGGATGGGAAATCCTTAAACTGGGGAGTGTTAAAAGGGAACATCTATTCTTGAACTGTATATCCCTTAGATTGGGGAGGGTTTAACGTGATCATGGTCTTTTTAATGTTTTGGGGACTGTATTTTATTTTACCGGATTAATTTACATGTTTACATATATATTATTTTGTAATATAATTTTTTATATCCGGTTTAAGGGATGCCACGTGGCCTATTTTTTTTTTGTTTTTTGCAAAACATTGAGTTTTTTGGTTTAGGCGGGAAAAAAACTCTGTGAAGCTGACACGTGTCCTAAGTGTTTATTGCTTTCATGAAGTGTAAAGGGATTGAATAAAAAAAAAATATGTATGAAGTAACCCGTTGAATTAAAAAAAAAAACTATACGGAAGGAACAGAAGTTTTAAAGGAAAATGAAACAGAAACATACCTAATTGTTTTGAATTGTTTACTGTCATGGAGTTTAAATAGAATAATATTTAACAAATATCGTGCGTTAATTTAGGGTAGGAATAATCTAGGATAAGTTAGACTCTATTTGAACTTTCATTATTAGATTACTTATCTTAAAAGATTGTTGCAGAAAGTTAAAATAGAGTTATCTTTTACGGTTAAGATGCACTGTAATCATAGCTAAATCTATTTTTTTACTTTGAATTTATGTGAGTTTTCAATTTCATACCAAGTAAGCTATTTTCATTATGTACTAATATATATAGATTAAAAAAAAGATTTTGAACTGCACAATTATTTTGAAACGGGTGGATAATAAATAGTAGAACATGAGTGTTCCTATCAACTGTACATTTTTTAAAAACCAGTAACATGACTAATTTATGAGCGATATATATGCACATAATAAGGAAGTTACACATTGAACTAGTTATTGCTCAATTGCGTTGTACTCCCTCCCTTTTATAATTATTATTGTCCATTTTGTCAAAAAAATTTTGTCCCAAAATTATTGTTAAGTTTGACTTTTTATGGATTAAATTACACATTTGACTTTTAGCAATGCTGTGGAAAAAGAATAAATAGGGAGGAGACGCAGAGACGCCGCCTTTTGCCATTCACAGCGGTGATATCCCTTTCCTCTTACCCCTACCGCCAGCACAACCATGCTCTTCTTCCTTCACCTCTTTCCACTTTTTCCTTCTTGCTGATTTGAAAGCTTCGGATTTTTCATTTCCTAGGCCCAATTTCTTTTTCTAATTTAACGAAGAGGGAGTGATGTCATTGGTGTATGAAAGCAAGAGAGGGAGTGTTTGGGCGGTGGGAGAAAACAGAGAATTAGTGAAAGGGGGAAGAAAAGAGGAGAATAGAAGGAACCGTGATTTAGGTTATTTTTTATCCGATTTTGTTCAAACTCTGATTGTAGTGATTAAACCCGAAAACCAGATCTGTGGTTGAGTTATATTTGGCTTGGTGGCAGTTGAATCGTGACAGTTGGAGAAGTTTCGGCAACTATTGACTTGAGAGCACCGGAATCTATTAATTCCAATGAAGAAAAAGAACAAAGAGGTTGAATAGTTCTATTTTTTTCTTCAATTGTTGTTATTGAATTTTGATTGAATACACTAATTGGGGTTGGGGAAAACTGGTGAAAAGCTTGCTCCCATCATCATCTTCCATCAGCGAGGGAGATGGACGCTGAAACTTTATAGGTAAAACAGTCACTATTGTAAGGGTATATTTGGTGGTTTAATCTAAAATATAGTTAAGTTTGACCAAAAAATAAAATCTTTCTTTTTAACTAAACTGGATAATATTTCTATGGAAGTTATACCATTAAAATGAGAGGTGCTAATACTTGGTGCACTAAAAACCAGGATACATCAGATGTACCCAATAATTTTTCTATTTTATAACTCTAAACGTTGTCTCAACTCAAATCCGTTATATATGGACTTACGTTGTACATTTAATTTGGTGTGTGATTATTTTTCCGTGACGAGAAGATCCTTCGAAAAATTCCATCAAACTTCAATAGTCATGGAGATCTACATCCTGATCTTCCAAGCCGAAGCTTCGTGAAATCTAACGTTTTGCCTAACGTTCTACTTTCTTAGTTTGGTCAACTACTGAAACCACTAATGATATCATGAATGTCATCTAGACTCAAATTCAATTTTAATCGATAATGTTCAACTTTTTTCTTTTATAATAATGTTCATCAAAGAACCAAAAAAGATAATTTGTAAAGTTGAACATGTAGGAAAATTTCCAGATGAAAGAATAAGAAAAATATAAAAAACGAAGAAAAGAAAACAAATGAACCCGTCTTAACAAACAACAACGATCCAATGATGCAAAAAATGGATAATTGCCTTCTTTTCAACAAGAAAATAATTACACACGTTGTCACATACTACTATAGTACTACTATATAGTAATCTATATGCCCAGACAACACAAAACTACTACTACAATATTTCATTTTGTTTTTTTTCTGACTTTGCCCTGTTTTTTGGTTGTCTACGTTTCCTACTTTTTGTTTTCCATATTTTTTTTCAATAAAAAAAAGAAGAAATCATTATTAAGCCAATATATATCAACTAGACTATATATAAGTCTCCTCCTCCATTTTGAAACCAAACTTACTCACACGACGTCACGATATATCTCTTCTTCCTTTTTTTTTTTCCTTACTCATTCTCCCGTCGCCATTTTCAGAGAGTTTCCAACTCTCATTTCTTCTTTCATTTTTTTCGTTCGTTTCTGTCACAGATACGCACACAGTATAGTGGTAACGTGTAGATTCTCCAGCCGATCGAATAAAATCTCGCCGGCCAGCCTGCTACTTCCTGTCCTTTTTTTACACACACGCAAAGTTATCACAGTGATCGGCCGAATTTTGTTTGCCGGAGAAAATATTATCAGGGCGGCCGGGGAAGATGGCGGCGGCGGCGTGTAGTTTTGAGGCGACGGAGACGATGAAGGAGTTGAGGGAGGCTTTCGAGAGCGGGAAGACGAGGAGCGTGGAGTGGAGGAGATCTCAGCTGAAAGCGCTGTTGAAAATGGCGGAGTTTCATGAGAACGACATCCTGGATGCCCTCCGCTCCGATCTCTCCAAGCCGGAGCTCGAATCTTTGCTTCAAGAGGTGTGTTGGCTCCGCTCCCTTTTATTACAAATTCGAAAATTCAATCTGTACTATGTTTCTGGTACACGAGAAATTAATCTCTTTTAAGAAAAACACACAGAAAATTTTTTTGTTTTAAAAAAAGATGGTTTAGGTTTTGATTAAAAACCGTTATTCAATTGATTGATGGTGGTTTTGATTTTGAGTCTGATTTGTTTGCGTTACATTTTTAACTTCACATTAATTATAGTATCCTAATTGATTTTGTTTGACTTTTTCTTACTTGCTATAGATATATTTCTTTCTTTGAATTTGGCCTAATTTGGTGCGGTGACATTATTGAATGCGAGGGGGCGTGGTAATGGGGCTGCGATTAATGCTGCGTTTATATGTAGCCGTCCAAAAATGTTTGAAAAAATTGAAATGAACGAGACTGAATTTTGTGTATTTCACTCGCATATTCATTGCTTTCATGTGTACTTTTAATTTCTGTCTCCTCACGTAAACCGAACGCACGTTTAACGTTGGGACGAACTAAAAACAAACAGCTCCGTATTTTAGTACTAATTTACGGAATTCTCTCAATAAGGACTAAAACCGTTGGTTTTCTTTATTTTTGATGAATTATGATTGATACACTTGTTGTTATATGAACATTTGGTATGGATACACGTCACAGGGTTAAGTTTAAGTACTTTTCAGTTGTTTTCAGTTGTTAGTATGATGGGTGAAATGACTTAGTAATAATATAAGAATCAATAGTGAACAAAGTTTGGAGTATTATCTCATGATTTGCAGATTCCACTTCTCTTCCTGTTGTTAGACAACATTTCGTATTTCAAATTTCGACCACAGTAGTTTTTTCTTTAAAAAAAAAATTAGAAATGTGGATAATATCAAGATATATATTATATTCTTATTATTCTGGATAATTACAGCATTTGAGATTTTTGCTATCAAATGTTATCCAGAGAAAAGGACAAATTAAACTTGGCCGGCGCAACTTGGTCTTTTTTAAATCAAAACACAAATTTTCTCTTCCTACTTTTTACTTATTTTTTAAATAGTAATAATTGACCGAGCTATGTACGTCGTTCATCTAATTTGAGCGATGTGACTTATTAGTTTCTTCTTCTTTTCTTTTTTGATGTCTTCGACAAATTCTTCTCGGAACTTATTTAATTAAAGGAAAAATGGGTCTTTTCATCCCAAAGTTTGGACCACAGCATCCAAAATATCCCAAAGTTTAAGAACATGCCATTTACATCCCAAATTTTTTAAAAACATGTTACATTAGGATATTCGTTAAATTTTTAACTCCAGTTAATTAATTAGTGGTGGTACTTTATTTTTTTTCTCCTCCCCCAATTCTTTTAATCATTTAACACATTTCACTAACTCCCACCTTATAAGAAAATAGCTAAACCTAATTTGGTCTTCACATCATCCATTCTTCCCTTGCTTAGGAGAAAAAATCCAAGATTCACCTTCTAGATTGATAACAATCATGAGAGGTTTTGTGTGTGTCCTAATTAGAAAGTAAGCCCTATTTCATTTATTTTTTCTAAATATGTAGCATCATTATAAAAATTGGTATTGTAATTGATGCAGGGACATGCAACTTCGTTGCTTGGCATGGATCAAATTTACCAAACGCAAGCATGAAACGTGTTTGACTAAAAAAAATGGGGGTAAAGAAACTAAATGAAATATCGCCGTTAATAACTTGAAAAAATTAACAAATGTCCTAATATTACATATTTTTGAAAAGTTTGGGATGAAAATGACATGTTTTTAAACTTTGGGATGTTTTAGATGGTGTGACTCAAAGTTTGGGATGAAAAGGCCCATTCTCCCTTTAATTAAATTGTTACTCCCTCCATTTCAATTCAATAGGCTCACTTCCCTTTTTGGGATGTTTCAAAACTTAGTCCCACTTCAGACAATTAACTAAATTTTACTATAAACTCTCTAATATACCCTTTCTATTTTCACTAAAAAAACATTTATTAATTTTAACAATTACTCTCTCATATCAATCAATAATTCACTAGTCGTTAATAGGGTTGTAAAAGGGATTTCATTTTAAAATTAACCACATAAACTACATTACCCACTTTTTCTTAATTTCCTTGTATGTCTAAATGGGTCTATTGAATTAGAATGGAGGGAGTATTACAATTAAAACACACATCCTCCGTACACCAAAAAAAAAAGAAAAAAGTCTACGCTAAATTTTTAGATATGTACTAATTTTAGTACAATTTTAAAAATTCAACATGGACTATACCATTTCTGCCTTTTCAGTTCACACCGACTGAATTATCTGTTTTGGTCTGAATTTATATGACCAAAAACTATGTATAACCCTTTGACTATTTTTTATATTTTTTTATATGACGAGTTGCTAAAATTGTTCTTGGAATCATCAAAGTTGTTCATGCGATCAGAAATAATAGCTAAACCGAAACTGGAAAAAAAAAAGTTACTCAGTACTCTTTATTCATTGGTTAAATTTTGAAGATACATTAATTATCCACGAAATTTTTTGAGGACGATTTTTCAATCACTATATTCATCGAAATGTCCTGACTTTTTCGAAAGAAAAATCGAAATGACATCTATTGCAAAAACTGTTGGAATTTGTGGACTAAGTCATTTACCAATGATTAATATTTTACTTGATTTGGAAAAGCCAAAGAGGTGTTACAATTTACTCTTTCAGTTAGTCAGCATCATTTAATGAATTTAATGAAATCCAACCAAAAAGGAAATAGTTGAACTGACCCATACTTTTTCAGACAAGTGGTAAACATGGTTGTTTTTTTTTTTTCTTTAGGCTTGATCTACTCTACTGCAACTAGATTCATTTTATAGAGTCAAAATCTCAACTTTTCCGTGTGCGTATACTATAGACGTGTTTGGATGTTTGGTTTGGTTGGTTGGGAGGTTCTGACTTTAAGGATTTTCAAGTCAAATCCTCTGCTGTCTCTTCACACGCTGTACAAATTTTTGCTATGCTACAACCAACAACAACAACATAGAGCAAGAATATATATGATATTAGGTTAGTCATTGTACTTTAGGTCTGACAAGTAACAAGGTTAATATTTTCATTTGAATTTGAGTAAGCCCTGTCGATGATTCAACAATATGCGTAAAATCAAAATCATAAATTTTATTGAAACAAATATATCCACAGAATTAGGACCAAGTTTACAGTGCGATGTTTAACAGTGTAAGCTGTGATATATGACTCCTTCTAATCAGATAGTTTTAAATGTACTAGTATGTGTCCCGCGCTTTGTGCGGGTTTGTCAATGTTAAAAATTTATTTTCTAAAATAATTAATTAGATAATGTAGTTATTAATATTTCTTAAAACCGTAAATTTTTTTTGATTAATCAATTTTAGATCAAAATGAGAGGTATTGATATTATTTATGAGATGTATATTTGTAAGATCTGGCCAAAAATATTACAACAAAAATTTTAAAAAGTTGTATAATAAAAATTATCACCACTAACTAATGTTATGTTTGGATTAAAAAATATATTAAAAAATGCATAAATTATGTCTAGATAACTATGGCTTATTTATAGGCAAAGAGACTTTGGGGATTAGACACAACTAATCGTCCTTGAAAATGTAAAATCGATAAAATTGAAGACAAAGTAATACATAAATAGAATTTTAAGGACTAAAATGATAATAAATTAAAAGTGATGCTTGATTGTCTCAATTAGCGACACGTGTCGATTATCTTTCTTTCCTTTAATAATATATATATAATGATACGGTTTACAGTGTATTATTATAAGGGCGGGAGGCAGTATTTGTAGAAATCATGTGACACATTAACTCATATTGTAGAAAAGAAAACCTCCTCAGGAGGCACCCTTTTTTTTTAGAGGAGACGTAGAGATGGAGTTTGTTTTTTCAGTTGAAATATGTTGATTTTGATGAATGATCAACGAATTATAGTACTTCGTTGGGAAACATCATCAAAATTAAAAGGAATAGTGGAAGAATATCATCCTGTATGTATAGAGTGTCTTATTCTACAATTGCAAGTCCATGCCTCAAACTGATCCTCTCAATGACCTGAATTTGGTACAAGAAACAGTTTCTCAATGGCAGTTGCGCATTAGATAAAGTAAGCCTTGATGCTTAAGAAAAATGAAGGTGACACTGCTGATTCACACAGATGAATTAGTTTAAGAAGTGGATTGCAGAAGTTTTTTGGTACAACTTCTAAAAAGTTTCTGTAACTAAGGCCCTAACAAACCAACATAGACAAGGAGTAGGTAACATATGGAGGGTTTGATGAAAGAAGAAACGATTTTGATTTAATTTTGCGGCAGATGAAATTGGATAATGTGGTGGTAATTGAGAGTTTGTTCTTGCTGCTGTATGAATGGATCTTCAGCATTAGCGAACACTGAAATGTTCTGGATTTCATCCAGAAGCAGCTTTGTTTAAGTCCAGACTTATTTTTTTTATCTTTGTTCTTGTTACTATCAGCTCATTCTAGTATGTATGTGTTTCTTTCTCCTTCAGATTGGCATGATGAGAGCATCATGCAAAGTGGCATTGAAAGAATTAGCACGTTGGATGGCACCAGAAAAGGTGGGTCTTCAGAAATGATTTTCATTCATCTTATTACTTGTTAAGTACTTCTATCTTAATAATTTCTGCTGTTTGCAGGTGAACACAACAATGGCAACCTTTCCTTCATCAGGAGAAATTGTTCCAGAACCGCTTGGTGTTGTCCTAGTCATATCTGCTTGGAACTATCCTTTCAGTATGTTGAGAGAGCATTTCTTTTGTATCTTCCTTGTGTTTAGTGCCATGAGTATACTCAACACTCTTTCTTCAAAGCTTCTCATTTTGTTACTGTTACCGCATATTGTTAGTTAGATAGCATTCTTGGTTATCCTTCAGGAATTTGTAATCTGCATCGAATAACTTCGCTGCAATTGTCTCAGTGTTGTCTCTTGATCCTCTCATTGGAGCTATTGCGGCTGGGAATGCTGTGGTTCTGAAACCGTCAGAAATTTCCCCTGCAACATCCTCAGTCCTTGCAAAACTCCTAGGACAGTATATGGATTGTTCAGCAGTTAAAGTGATTGAAGGTGGTGTACCTGAAACAACATTACTGCTGGAGCAGAAATGGGATAAAATCTTTTATACAGGTTCTGCGAAATAATTTATCCCCTTACTACACTTTTCAATGTCCATGTTTTCAGAAGTATGTGAAGATAATTTGTCTATAATAACCACCATAGACTCCGAGTAACAACAGAAAACTCAAACAAAACTTTTATCTGTAAGATTTAGCTTTGAAAACTAATTGCTGGTTGGTAATACGTGTAACCTGTAGGAAACGGCAGAGTGGGACGCATTGTGATGGCTGCTGCTGCAAAGCATCTAACTCCTGTTGTATTGGAGCTTGGTGGAAAATCTCCAGTTATTGTTGATTCCAACACGAATTTAAAAGTAATGGGCCGGTTTAAGGAGTGAATTTGCAAAGCATCTTATGCATTTCTTTAGAAGAAATAACATGCATTTACTTTCTGAAGGTCACTGTACGAAGAATTATTGCCGGCAAGTGGGGATGCAATAGTGGTCAAGCTTGCGTATCACCTGACTACGTAATAACTACAAAAAAGTTTGCCCCAGAGCTGGTAATGTTAATTATGATGAAATACATAAGCTTGAAGTACGTCGCTCTATCCTTATCTGTCTCATTATTGTTTTCTGTCCTTTCCGTTAGGTACATGCCCTGAAGTCTGAACTAGAGATATTCTATGGGAAGGATCCTGTAACATCAGTTGATTTATCCCGCATTGTGAATTCCAATCACTTCCAGCGCTTAAGTAAACTGTTGGAAGAGGACAAGGTTTCTAGTAAGATAGTCTACGGAGGTCAGAAGGACATCAACAATCTGTGAGTACTTTTCTTTCATGTATTGATTTTACTGATTTATGATATCCAAGCTTAGAAAGAAGACTTTATGCTTCTCGTCCTTTTTTCTCATGTTAGGAAGATCGCGCCTACCATTTTATTGGATGTTCCGGATGACTCCCTAATCATGAATGAGGAAATATTTGGCCCATTACTTCCTATCATCACTGTAAGACCGCAACTGATTACATTTTGGCTTCATCTCTTTATGTAACATGTTAAGATGGTGTTTCACGTTATGACAACAATCGCATCAAGATAACACGTTGAAAATGTTCTGAAAAACACTATTTAAGACACCAATAATAGTTGAAGTGTCAATGAGATGAAATGGTAGCCATGGCCATAGCTGTTCATAAGTGACCTGTGAGCTGGTTAAATCTTCTCGAAGTAGTAGTCAAGCACGGGAAATACCAGATTGTATTTATGCACTTATAGATTCGTTAGACACAGAAACATTGTGGAACCTTACATTGAGATCGTTGATTTACCAGTAACTGATTAAGCTATATTATTTCTTTCTTTCTGAAAGGTTGACAAAGTGGAGGATAGTTTTAAGATTCTGAAACCCAAAGAGAAGCCACTTGCAGCTTACCTATTCACAAACGACAAGAAGCTGAAGGAGGATTTCATCAGTAATGTATCAGCAGGGGGTTTGGTTGTCAACGACACAACAATGCATGTAAATATCATCCCTAAACTTAATCTGTATTGCTTTCATTTACATTCTCTAAAGCTACATACCTGTTTTATGCATCTTATTTGCTTTTGAAAATTGTGTGTTCATCTATGTGCTTTACTACATATTTCCTTGCAAGAGCTTCTAACCATTCTTACTGGACCTTTTGATTAATTGGGAATGTTAATCAGCTAGCCCCATGATAAAAGATATTTCTATTTGTATGATCGATTTCAATGTTTAACTGCTCAGTTTTCAGAGGTGATTATGTGTGTTATAAGGGTGACAATCATATATGAGAGTGCACATTAATTACTATTGAGATTACATTTCAGGAGTAGTAGTGATGAAGTATGCCTTCAAGTTTTAATTGTTTTAATCAGCTTGAACACTTTTGAACTTGATGCAGCTTGCTGAGCATAGCTTGCCATTTGGAGGGGTAGGCGAGAGCGGAATAGGAGCATACCACGGCAAATTTTCTTTCGACGCCTTTAGCCACAAGAAGGCAGTGCTGCTACGAAGTTTTGCTGCGGATTTAACTGCCAGGTACCCGCCATATACACCTCAGAAGCAGAAATTTCTGAAAGCGCTGCTAAGTGGCAGTTTACTTGCCATTCTTCGTGCTTTACTTGGCTGGGACAAATAGATAGTCACAAACAAGTGTATTCCACAACTGCTACACCTGTTGTCTACATTTCTTGTTTTTCAATTGTTCGAAAGCAATGTACATTTCTCATGCTGTCTTCTCAGAAGTTGCAAACTGCTTAGATAGTTTGATAACTGGTGTACATCAGAAATTGGAAATCCGGTGCCTCAAAATTCCTAGTCACATTTTTACCAACTGAACTTCTGCCTCAAAATTCCTAGTCATATTTTTACCAACTAGCTGAACTTCTACAACTGAGAATCAAACTGTGATCAACACGAATCTTGTAAAATCATTACAATATCTGATTTCTGTTCCTCTGTGAGTTCTGTTGGAAATTTGACTAGCAATGTTATTATCAAATTTCCTCGCTTTTCTTCGTGTTGCTTTGGCATGCCTTGTCCAGCTATGATCTTCTGGAACCCAGGGTACACGATATCATCAATTGTTAGAATCATCTTCTCCCCACCTAACAAAGGGATTGGAAGAGTGCTGCCAGTCAAAGCATTTACCAAAGGGATTTCTACTACTAACTCCAAGTCATCTCCTCGTCTCTTGTACAAACGGTGTTGCTTCTCTACAATAGTGAACACAACATCTGCGGCGTCTGCACCAGGTGCCTCATTCCCCATGCCTTCGAATGTGATCTTTGTTCCTTTTCTCCACCCTGGCTTTACTTTGATTGTTAGCACTTCATCTTCTTCTATTATTTGTCTGTAGAAAGTGGCAAATATAGATAATGTCAGTATCATTGTTTTTCTCTACATAACATGCGACAACAGTAGGCCTTATTCTTAACCAGTTTTGACAGACTACTTCAATGACAAGATATGAAGCATCTGATCAACGACACAGGTTATATAAAGTCTTGTGTTGATCCTTCCATCACTAATAATTTCATCGACATATAAATATAGGATAAAACCAAATGCTTCCATACTTTTCAAGTGATTGATTCTCCAACTAATCAGCTATCTAGAACCAAAGTAATGCATCACCAAGTTGAGTGAATGCCTGACTTTAACTAGCTTCTTTTCCATCAAAGGCATGATGATGAGTGATTAAGGAAGAACAATAGTAACTAATTTACCATCAAACAGAATGTACATACCCGTCTTCTGTTACAGCAGCTCTTGTGATCTTCATCTTCTTGATGCATCCAAAACACAACTCCTCAAGGGTGCATTCAAGGGTTTTTATCATTGGCGGGGGCTTCAATATTAGCTTATGCGAGTTTGAGTAAATAATCGTGGTTGAGCTCCTCCGGCTTGCATTCCTAGAAAGCGAGCTAGTCGGGGTGGTTGCCTCGACACTTTTCCTCCTGCTCATGCTTTTCAGGAGGCTTGCTGCAGCAGAGCGAATCGGAGTTTGGCTCCTCTTGCTTGAACTTCTTGATAAAGGAGAAGGACTTATACTTCTTGAATTTGGAAGTGGACTCGGGTTTCTTGATGTAGGAGGACTTGATAGAGGCGATTGAGTGAAGTAAGCTTTATCATAACTTTGATGCTTTGGCATCCCTCTTGGAGATACCTGATCACCATTACTGTATCTTAACTCTTGCTTCCCATTCATTGTTACCTGGCTGAAATTGTTGTGATGATCATGAGCCTGATAAGATGCAATTCTGACAATCAATATGTTGGAAATTTTTCATCATAGTTTTGTTATCAATAAACACTCAATTATGTTACAAGAAAAGCATATTACAGAAGTTATAAGTATTATAATTTCTTTACATCATTAGTTATACTGATAAAAAAGAGTCACGTTTATCAAACCTATGGAAGGAGGGAATATAATGTAATTCTAGCCCCGCTAAAATCACATATTACAAAAAATCTCAATAGAAGGACATCGGCATTGCAAATAAAATGACGAGATTCAACCAAACTGAATTTATAAAATTGTAGAGATAACCAGAAAAGAAAAAAGAAGAAGAAGGGAAGAGTATTTGGTTCGAATCACCAACATTTATGTGACCATTTCCAAATAGACAAAAATTTTGCATATACTATCTCAATATGCACTCTAGCCTGCATGCATTATCCAAAATACTAGTCCAATATATTGTTAACAATGTTGGATGTCACGTTAATATCGATAAAAAAAAGTAAAAATAACAAAGGAATTTTAGAAAACGTACAATCCAATTTAATCAAAGTACCTTGTGTTCTTGATCTATGCTATTAGGCTTATGTTTTCCTTCCATTTTCCGGGGAGATGGACTTCTCTCTGGATAACATCTTGAGACGAATGATTTGCATCTTCTACAAACGCCTCCAAGGCGGTGGCGAGCACCGTGAAATTCCGGTGATGATGGTGTTGGTGGTGGTGTTTGAGAACGATGTCCCATAATTGAGAGAAAGAGGAGGTTGGAGAAAGACCATGCAGTGTATCCACGGAAATAGATGGATAGCCAACTTTACAGCCTTTTTTGGTTAGGTCTTTTTTTTTATCATTCCTTAAACTAGCATTTACAAATATTCTAGATGAAGAAAACTTAAGCATTGAACCTATTTATGCTCTCTTTTTAATGTGTACTCATTTTATTTTTCTAAATTTATATAATAATTGATTGGACATGCACTTACAAGAATCGTTGCTTTGTAATTTTTGTGAGTACTAGTTACGTAATTTAAAAACTTATAACAGCCATGGGAAACAATGGGATGAAGTGTAAAAAAAAACATCTTAAGAGTCTATGCATGTCTCAATGAAATGACACTTTTTTTTGTTTGGGTTTTTTGTTTTTTTTTTTTGTTTTGTTTTGGGCCACAATCAAGGTTTTTAAGTTTTAACCAATCTGCCCGTATCGTGTAGGCAGAAAATAAGACCAGAGGGGAGTATCTAGAAGGGTTGATGAGTATATTTGATAACAATGTTGGTGTTGGATTAAATAGTTGGAGCTAAGTGTAGTTACCAATCCAGTCATGTGTGTTAAATAATCATAGAATGGCAAAATGTTATGTTATATTTACAATAAAATGATACATTCTTATACTTTGTTTCTGTCTAGTTGAGACGAAAATATTTGGATGACATTTTTCTTTTTTTAATTTAAATAAATAATATTTTAGTTTGGTGAATCTAGAGGGACTGGTAATGTATTTTATTTTATTTTAATTTATTTTTTGATTGGCAATAAACGCTTCAATGAGTTATAAATATCTAATGTGGATGTCTACGAGCCAGAAGAGTTATACAAGGAATTAACTGTTCAGAGATAATATCTAGTTAGATATTATCATAGCTAGATATTATCATTATTTATTCTTATCCTTGTATCCATCTTCTCTATAAAGGGAGAGTAGTCTTTGCAGAAATAATACACATATCAATTCTCTCTTTCACTCTCTCAACTTGTTCTCTCCCTTTTTTTTTTCTTCTTCTATAGTTTCATATCTTTACTTTAATAGCACGTTATCAGCATGAGCCTCTATTCAACTGAGAAGATTTTAATCTGTAGATCTGGGAGTGCGGTTGATTTTGAACCGTAGATCAGGGAGTGCGGTAAGCTTTTCTTGTTTTGTAAATATTAGATACAACCAAGTGCTCCTATAATAGCCTTTTTCTTTGCTTCATTAGCAACAATTTTATGAAAATATTCAAAGAGATTTTCTTCACTTCCTGAAACAAGTGGATTTGAATATGTTAAAATATCATAATCATATAAATTAACTACTTGAAGTGGTAAAATATAAACAAAGATAGACGATATAAAAACTATATCGAAATGACAACAAGCCATGAAGGAATTGCTCTTGGAGTAGCAGTTTATTATGTTTTTATTAAATGCATTGTTATGCTTTTGTTTAAAGAGATCAAAATACTCTTTGATTTTGAGAATTTCAATTCCTTAAGCAAGTGGACAACTACATCATTTTATAATCAAATGTGATAATGCATCTACTATAATTTGGTAGTCACGTACAAAAATAATATTTTTTCACATGAAGTGGAAGATTAATAATAAGAACAATCAGAAGGTTGCTCCTGAAATAGAAATATAATTCTTGTTAGCATTGAACAAAAATATTGAGTTTTGTTGCAAATAATATTGTACTCGTCCAAGTTGGATGACTGCATTTCTAGAAGTAAATGCGATTATCATGAAATTTCATTAGTGGATAAAATGGAAGGAGTAAATATGGTTGGAAATGGGTTATCTTACCAAAATCTTACAACTCACCAGAAGTGAGAAATTTTAATAAAATTAAGGTAAACCACCATAAGTTGGGAAGTTGAAGAGAGTAAAAAGGATAAAAGATAGAAAGTGCTATTGTTATAGCATAAAAGATCATCGTATACCTACTTTGCTAAAAACATATTGTTACTTTCTGCCAAGAACTAGAAAATTATTTATGTTAACAAAAGTGTGAGCGATATTATCATAGATGTTAGTTATATATTCTCCCTGAAGGTAAACAAATCAAGAATCAGAACTATTTATGGATGATCACCCTGAAGGTGATAGTAGTTATCTGTACATAATGAAAACATCCAGTGGTAGTTTTTTTTTTATATTTTAGATTAGTAATTTTTTATTATATACTTTATCGTGTACTTTATTATTCCTTGTGATTTTTGAATTTAAGCAATGTCATTATTTATTTATTTTTTGTTGTTAGAACAAAATTATTTTAGTGCTCCTGTAGAGCATATAGAAGAATTTCTTCATTGGAAAAAACTCCTAAAAAGCAGAATATACTATGCTCTATAACTAAAGGGCAGATGTTGCCGCTAAATTATTCCATAAAGTTAGATGAAATCTCCCGTGGAGTATTACTCACTAAATATCTTAATAAGTGCTCTCTTAGAGCAAGAATACTTTAGTTGAATGAACTAACAGAATATATATATACTCCCGTAGAGTAGACAAGCTCTGTTAGAGTAAATGTTCCTATGAATAGGTTTTGATCTGGCATAATTAGTTACTCTCTCTAGAAGAGAATTTGTAAATATGGCTCCATAAGAGTAAATAAAATATGAGCAAATAAAATTTTACACGAATGTGAAAGGTGTTCGAGAAAAGATCTTCAAATGTCTGAAAGTGCTATCATATACTTATACATTACGAATACAATTTTCTTGAAAATTGTATTGGCCTTCTTATTCTTTTGTGTTAAAATATTATACATGTAATTGTTGAGTTTTGTTGTAAACCAAAAGTTTACTAGGGAACTAGAAGTTACTTTTTCGTCAAGTTAAACCAGAAGTTTACTGATTACAACAATTTTATATATTTGACATAACTAATTAAGCCATCTTGGTTTCAAAATAGAACAAGAAAGTTCATGTTTTTTAAATTTGGAGAACCAGGAGTTTCTTCCAATGAATTAACTTATTTGCTAATGAGATAGCCACTTGTATATTTATCATTAACTTACAACCTGGAGCTTGTGAAAGTTAATTATAGGTTTCAATTTAGTTATGTGTGCATTTTCATATTCTCCTATGAGAAAATTCTGATTTGGAAGCCCTGGTACATGTATGACCCAATATGATGATAAATGTTTCAGCGATAAAACTTGAACATATGTGGTATATACAAACAAAAGTGAAACGGTCCAGTGAAATTGTTTATTAAATGTGTTCAAAAGGAAAGTAAGCACCCAATATATATACAATTGAGGACATATTGAAACATAGAAAGCATCAACCATATGCATAAACACAAATGGGCCATTATAAAAATTCTCCATTATATTAGGTTTTTGTTAGAAACCATACATATCGATCTTCAAAATTTGGATGTGTTGTTTATATTAATTGTTCCACCACAATGGACGCAAAGATGAAGATCCTGGAAGAGGTCAAGAAGATGCTGGATTTTGAACCTCCAGCCTTTGGGGTGATTGATGTTGGGCTTTACTATTCGATTGGCTTATTGTCTGTTTGACGAGTTAGTTACTCCAAAACGAGCTCTATTTACTACTCGATTGGTTGACTACCAGTTTGACGAATTAGTTATCCCAACATCAGGGGGGAGAAATTGAAAACAGCCAATTCATAAATCAAATGACGATATCATTATCTCATTAGATCCTCGATAATATGAACCTGAAGTTCAATAGATAATGTTCAAGACCAGATATTTATATGACGAGAATATGTCACTATGTTACATGTAAAAGGTTGTTAATTTTGATGTTGCATCCCTGAAGGATCAACTACCACTATTGTTTAATTTAATGTCCATTTGATGAGTGATAGAACCGTCAATTCTAATAATAAAAATCATCATGAATGAGAAAGTTTAGATCTATTGAGATGGCAAATACGAGTGATTATAATCCAGAAGAATCTTTAGTATTGAATAGTTTCCCAATATGGTGAATATAAAATTCCAGAAGAAGAGTAAATATATTTGGGAAACTTAATAATTGTGAGATCTAATTACTAAAGAAAGATGGAATCGATTGGCAATAAAATGTTGACATGAAATTTACTTATGCTGCAGCAGGTAGTAAAATGAATGAAATGAGGATCATAAAAATGAATGTCTGTTGTGGGTGCATACATTAAATTTATTGGCCATAATAAATGAAAGACGCAATATACATACACCTGAAGATGTGTAAGTAAAACGAAACTGCTTGAAAAAACTAGAAGTTTTTGACAAATAATATACCGACTAAATGTTGTTGGGTGATTGTTCAACACATTAACGAGCAACCAACTTGTTGCACAATTTTTCCAAAGTCCATATGTTAATCATAAGGTGGATGGGAAAAAAATTCTTTCGTTATTTGCTATATCTGGCAGCAAATGAAGAAATAAAATTGCGTCTATTGAATGTAGTGATCACTTAAAACTTGATACTTGAAACTTAATACTTGATATTTGATAATGACGTTTATATGAAATCTCTGAAGGATTCAATAAGGGACATAGTTCCGATTCTCGAGAAAATAATTCAAAAGACTTGCGCAAATACTAGTGTCTTCATATGCTTTGACAAATATTTAGGTGCATATCTTTGAATGTTTTGATTTATGCACTCGTCTCTATATTTATTATTGTCAGAATATGATATGTTTGTTTGTGATTTTTCATGCGTTTAAATGATCATATTTGTATGATAATGATATATGTGTGCTTAGAACTCAGTAACACTAAACTCTTAAAGAGTTTGAAAAGACTGAATATTATCGAAACTCATTATGTAGTTCGAATAGCCTAAAAATTAATATAACTCCGGAAGAGTTCATCATTATTGAGACCTCAAAATTAGAGAAGTTCAAAGGTTGCTAAATTCAAAAGGTAGCTAATTGCCTGAAGCAAGAAAATTGAAAGCTGACTTTGAATAGAATCTTGGTCTTAGTTTGACCGTAGTATGTTTATATTTAACTCCTGTTGGACACACTTGATTATAATCATGATGTGTGTATAGATCCTTTTTTATTTTTGAATAATGATGTAAACTGATTTGGTCCTGAAATACCATAGTGTAATTTATATAAAATATCGGTTTATTTTATCAATTACTCAAGACATTGAAATATTGCATACATTGATACATTCGGTATACGATGGTTATGGATCTCTATTTTCCGGAAGCACTCAAGATTATACATGGTATGTGAAGGTGATCGTCTGCATAAGAAGCTAAAGTGACTATTTAGAAAATCAACATATTATTGATTTTGACACATGTGAAACTGGTCAACATTTTAACATGCAGTGAGAAGATCACAAGTGATGTATTCAACAGGGGGAGTAACCCCACTCTGCACTCTTTTTTCCTTGATCGAGATTTTGTCCCAATGAATTTTCCTGACAAGGTTTTTTATGAGGCAGTGTCATATCTGGGAATGTACTCTTTTTCTTTTATTAGATTTTTATCCCACTGAATTTTTTCTAATAAAGGTTTTAACGAGACAGTATCCCAAGAAATGGACATCCAAGGGAGAGTGTTATAAATATCTAATGTGGATGTCCCCAAGTCAGAAGAGTTATACAAAGAATCAACTGTTCAGAGATAATATTTAATTAGAGATTATCATAGTTAGATATTATCATTATTTATTCTTATCCTTGTATCCATCTCCTCCATAAAAGGAGAGCAGTCTATGCAAAAATAATACACAGATCAATTCTCCATTTCACTCTCTCAACTTGTTCTCTCCCTCCTTTCTTTCTTCTTCTATAGTTTCATATCTTTACTTTTATAACACAATGCAAATTCTTCTGAAATTGAATCATGAAACTCGTGTTACAAGTGATTTCTTTACTGTAACTATACTCTAAAAATAATACTCCCTCTGGTCCTTATTATAAGGCATCTTGATTTGTCCTAAGTTTCACCTAGTACGCATTTTTAATTGACAAAGAAAGCTTAAAAATATTTCATAACAATCAAAAGAACACAACGAACATGGAAATATATTTTTAAAATTTTTTTGTCAATAAAAAATACGTATTAACTAAAATTTAGTATAAATAAAATGTCTTATATTATGAACCGGAGTAAGTACCTCAATATTTGGAGCTAGGCTATGATTTATTTGATTGTATAAATCCAATTTAACTAATGTCCATGGAGTGTCTATATTGGATTCAACATGATTTTGCTCGAACAAAAATGAGAACACCCACGTCGGAAGTCAAAGCTAGGAAAAAAAAAATTGTATGCACATTTATGTGTAATAAGTCAATAAAATTTTAGGTCAGTTTTAGAGTCATTATATCGTACATCATGGTTCACTATTTTAGATGAATTGTTTTTTAGATTACACGTGCTTATAAAAAGTCTAATTAAAAATCGAGAAAAAAATCTAAAACTAACTATTTAACTTGCGGTATAATAAAGTAAAAAATAAATAAACAAAATCTGACTTTAACTCTTCTCCTCGATTGTAGCCTTCATCATCTCACCACCATAAGATTTAATCTTGAACAAGTTTAAGTTAGTTATTAAGATATACACACAATTTATATTACATAGTATATTAAAACACATAATATATTCTACAAAAGTTCATGAAAGTATATGAATATATTCAAATATAAAATTAATCGTTAACCTATAAATACAAAGCAACAAACTATGTTCATATTCAATAACATACACGTTCATGACAAAGCCTTTATATGTTAACATAAATTCACATTATTATGAGTTAAATTAAAATTCATGACCGCAATAAACAATGTTCATGTAATTGATAAAAGAATTTAACAAAAATATAACTTAAAAATTCATGTATATATAGTGAATTTCTAGTACGACATACAAATATAAGGTACAATTAAATACAAAAAAAATTCATTACGACATAATTATATATTCATTAAAGTATAAAACTATGCATGATATCAAAATACCCTTGTTCACATGAATTAAAGCATAAAATTAATATTTTGAAGACATATAATTCATGATAACGATATTCACATGTAATGAGAGCAAAAAATTCATACCTTCAATATATATAATTCATGAGCACGATATCATATATAGCAGGAGCAAAAAATTCATATTTTGAAGACATATAATTCATGAACGCAATATTCATACATAGTGAGAGCAAAAAATTCATATCTTCAATATATATAATTCATGTGCACGATATCATATATAGCGGGAGCAAAAAATTCATATTTTCAAGACATATAATTCATGAGCACGATATTCATATATAGTGAGAGAAGAAAATTATATCTTGAAAAAATATAATTCATGAGCACTCTGAACAATATTCATATACATTAGTGAGTTTATAATACTTTTCTTTTTAAACAAAAAACTAAACATTACCAGAGTCATGTTAAGAAAGTTCATCTTCAGGAGTGCATGTTAATTGAAGTTGTTGCGCCAATTCATCATCTTGAATGCGTATCAACTGAAGTTGTGACAAATCATCATCGTTGGTTCCATTGTTTTTCATGTTGGAATGAAGACTGCAATCCTGGTTAAGACCGTAGTTGCTGTTATCTTTTGAGTGATGGTCATTATTGTCTCCTTGATAAACTTCTGCATAATCATCGTTCATGAGAATAATAGAATCATCATAAATGATATCATCAAAAGAAATTTGATTTAAATCAAGATTCATCTTCCAATTAATAATGGACGAAAGAAAGATGCAAAACCTTGTTTCTAATTCTCAGTTTTTTTTTTTTTTAATTTTATAGATGAGTAGTTAAGTGAACTACCAATAGTTGTGAAAATATACGAGATTTTCAGTTTAGATTTTTTGTAAACAATCTAAATTGTGATAAGATATGGGAAAAAAATAAGGAGTGTAATTTTAAAGCGCGTTGTTAGATTTTTAAGTCAGGATAAAAACCAATCTCTTTTTATAAGCTAGTAATATAACTTTTAAAATAAGTCTACTATCTACTGTGAACCATGTTTAGTATATAAATTGCCCAGTTTTATGGTTCTCTATTTTTCCTAAATCACAGCTGGTAAACATATGATTTATCCATCTAGCGTATTAGAGTGTAGCACATAAGATTGTGTAGGCGATAAAAAATTTTCTCCAAAGCAAGATCTGCACGGAAGTGGAAACAAATATAAAGTGGGAAGTCTGGATTCAGTCATTTGTCTTATTAACATAATTTATTTGTATTTTTTTACATTTTAATTTACTCTCTTACAAGATATAATCAGTCCAAAACCCAGCAAAAAAAAAGAAAAAGAAATTTTAAGTGAAGCTTAGACATTAAAAGAATCTCAAAAGAAAATTAGATAGCAATATCTTTAACTTGATAAAATAAAAAATAATGGAATGATATATTCTTATTCTGGAACTTAAAAGAAAATTTGGAACTTAAGAAACTATCAAGAAATCTTCCAAAAAATAGTGCTTTTTCAAAGAAAAAAAAAAGTTTATGGTCACAACATTGATGCTACACAAATAATTGTTTTATGCTACACATATAATTGGTAAAACATTAGCCAAAGGGGAACCTTATTTTACTTGATATTTTGTTATATGATTTCCACCACACATTTGAACTCAGTCACGGGGCGGAGCTTTGAGGATTGTTTCAAGGACTTCAGCTTGCCTAGGACTAGGAGAGTCAAGAGTGAGGGTCTTCGGGTGAAGGCTTAAGTGGACAACCAATGTGTTGTTGACTAAGTTAAAACCAGTGATGGAGCAATGGAAGTGTATGAAATCTTGATAGAAAGCATCAAAGAGCAATTGGGACGGAACTGGATGGTGGAGCTTGGACATGTCTCCAACGAGGTTAATTTCGCAAGTGATTATTTGATCTTATTAGCTTCTATAATTTCGGGGATTCGGTGAAACTTAACAAACAATCGATAAGTGTAAGACCTGGTTGAAACAGGACATTGTTGGAGTTTTTTATTAACCAAGTGTAACTCTATAGTATAGGCTTATACCTCCTTTTCGTTAAAAAAAAAAAAAGAAATAAATAAACTCAGTCATTTTATGAACTTAATCAAACTCAGTGAAAAAAAAAAAGATTTAACTTAGATTTGGTATAATTACTTGAGCCCGTCTAAAAATATCTAGTACAGTACTGATTATTAGATAATACATACACGAAAAAAACATAACATCAACACATACACACAAAAACAAAACAAAAAAAAAAAAAACACATCGAAAACAAAAGAGAAAAAAAAAACCGAAAATAAAAGAAAAAACATATTTTGGTAATAATCACCAGAATAGTTGAGTCAACGTCCGGATAAAGGCATACTCATAATCCGTCTCTTTGAAAAATACTTTGATTTTTTAAGTTCATTCGTTCTTGATAGTATAGAAGAAGATATGTATAAAATCATCTACAAAGAATTATATGTTGAAAGTGGACACTTTGCATATACATATGAAAAAAATAAAGTATTTTTCAAAATGTAGAATTTCTGGCCAATAATAAATAATGCTGCATAAGCTGTTGTCATCTTAAATTGCTATTAAATTCTCTAATCACCACTAGTTTCAAAATAATTTTTTGCATTTTGTTCAATTTACCCTGAACAAATATTCATACTCGTTTAATCAGCCTTTCTAAATAAACCTATCAAATGGTCTAAAATGTAAACGTCCTGTTAAAAATTATAGGACAAAAAACGAATGGAGTTTTAATGTGTAGTGAAACAATCTTAAGGTTATCATGCAATCTTCAAATCGTTCCATGTATATTCTCGTCAGCTACTTGGTAAACTATGGATGAAGTCAAAGAACCTGAAGCAAAACACAAAGTGGACTGCAGTTCCAGTGAACTGCAGCGTATAACTATGGTGGTACTAAGGTAACGAAATTCCTCCTTCACTCCTAAAACAAAAGGTGTAATACCTGTGATTTGCACAACGCGCGAGATAATCGGTTTTCAGAATCACAAGCAGAAGATGCAGCTTTAATAAGTTCCAATTCGTCTCAGTTTACAATCAAAGATGACAAAATTGCCAAGACAGCTACTACGATCATTATGTTAAGGAAATAGTTCGTAGGAAGAGGCCTATCTGGGCTTCCCCCAAGTCCTTCGTACTCTGCTCTAATCTTTTGCTTCATAGCCTCCGATAGCTCTCTCTGCAAATTCAAATAGGCAACACCTAACTGAATTCATTATTCTCCTTCATTTAAGACTTCCAAAATATTAGATTTTGGGGGAATAGCTTCATCTTGTGTTTATTAAAACAAACTGCACAAGTAAAGAAGACACTTGTTTTTCTTGTTTTTTTAATCCTGCACCAACCATAAAAGATGTATCATGTAAAAAACCCGTAGATGTTTCTCTGAGAAAAATTCAAGCAGAGAAAATAAAAGAAAAAAATTGTCCATCACGAAACTTGGATATTCTTACAACCTTTCCAGTGGAGTATTTGGCTGCTACAAATTTCTCTGGCTGAGAGGAACCTTCATCAATGGAGAAACCCTAACAAAAAGACACAAATACACTTGCAGTAAGCAAAAATTCAAATTATCGAACTCAACATGCAAGTTCACTCCATACAGCAGAATATACAAATGCAATAAAGTCATAACAACTAAAGATTTATTCATAAACTTGGAGGAAAAAACTCAAAAAACAACACTAACTTCAGCTACGATAGAGATATTTGAAATGTATCTGTCAGCCGTTTCACTAAGGGAAATCTGCTTTGTAAGCAGTTCAAAATGTTTAATGAACTGACAAGTTAGTTCCAACAAACCATAAAAAGGAACTTTTCAAAAAAAAAAAAAACCGTAAAAAGGAGAGAAAGTACAAAAGTGGAAAAACCCAGAGTTGGCGCATCTTTATATCCAACATTCCAGAAGCACATTAGTTCAAAACATCTTTACTAAGTTGTTCAGCAGCGGAAGCTCAAGTAGTGATGTCCAAAGTAAAAATTTCTCGACCAAACAAAAGAATCAGTAAACAAACCTCAGGAGGATCAAATTTAGCTCCAAGATTACTAAGCTTAGCATGGGCCTCGGCATAATCTTTGAAAAATGCCTCTTGATCAACAGCATACTTCTCAGCATATTCCTATGATATGTACATTGGCTTATAATTTCAGAAAGGATGAAAGGAAATGTAAAATGGAAAACAATATGGCATCCAGAAAGAAATATCTCCAAATTTGAACTACATCCAATCACCTTAAATCCAGGATCTTCAAAAAGTGCAGCATCAGTAGGCAAAACTAGTAGATCCTCATCCCTTCTTTCTTTAATATCCTACACAAATTAGTATCTCATAAGAAATTGGAAAAAGGAGCTCCGATATATCTATCTTATCATAGAAATATGTACGAGGAACAAACCTTGAAGTAGGAGTTATCAAACTTCAGCCACTGTACCGTCCATGATTGTCCTCCTGGATTTCCTGGACCATCTTTCTGTCAAAGCACATAATAAAAAAGAGCTAAATAACAACTATTTTGATTAAAAAAAACGAAGAAGAAAAAAAGTTCCCAAATCTAGAAAACTGCAATAGCTTCAACACACAAAATGATGCTGGTTCTTAGAAACAGAATAAAAATCAACTGCACGTCCCACTACTAATATAATTTACAACCTCGAACAATAATGGCAGTGCACAAAATGACAAAACTACCGATTACCGTGTACTTGGTCTCAGGCTTGCCCCAGCCACTGCGTTCAGGTCTGGACCTCCCCAACGTGTGTGCACCGGAAAGTGCAACAATTTCCTGGAAGGACAAAAATTAATGGTAAAGACTGTATATCTCAGCCAAAGAAAAAAGATTGAAGGCAGATAATATGGCAGCCATCACCTCATCATTTAATCCCATCCTATAAAAGACATCGCGTAAATGCGCAGCAGGTGATGGAGGACCAGCATCTGCACAGTGTCACAATTTACCATATACTCAAGATCAGATAGCAAAAAGCCTAGAGCACTTCACAGATATTTAGGGGCTTAAGAAAATAAAAAATAAGATGAAGCTCTTGCGCGAGAACTTTCCAAAATCTCATTACTGGGTTGTTAAACACTTAACATGCTATATATTCATTCTCATTTATTTAACGAGTTTGACGATGTAAGATCAGACACAAAACAAAAAAGATGATAAATATACATACCTTAAACCATTTTCATGTGTAAATTATCATAAAAGAAAAATTTTTATGAACAATTAATTCAGTTTGCAGTAATTTTATCCAGACAGACTGATCATATTGAAGAAGACAACCATTATAGGCATCAAAGCAACTATAGTTCCTAAACAGCAAGATTCACAAGTTTGAAAACCCCAACGGCTTGGGAACTTATCAAGGCATGGAAAACAGAATGGAGTAGACTGGCAATGCTAGTAGTTTTCAGGTTTTCAAGAAAGCTGTCCCCTGGAAAGTACATCACCGAGCACAAAATTAATACCAGTGCCACTCTCTTCAAGAACCTCAACTTAACTAAACTTCTCATATTTGGTTTCATTTTCATTCCGCTGCCTAAAATATGGCAGTCCCAAGCAAGAACCAGAAGAGGAAGGTTTGCATTAGGTTGAAAACCAGAGAAAAAAAACTAGATGTCATTTAAAGGTCTGAGTGTAGTGCAAGATGAATAGAGTGGTCACAGAAGTGCAAATGTGGTGTCTTCATGAAGACTGAAAATCTCCATGGTCAGTGCAGTGCAAGATGTTCAAGAGTGCTAATATACTAATGGGAGCATAACCAGTAACAAATGTAGGAAAACAATAGTAGGTTGCAACATGCTATAACTTTCATAGAGCTAGGAAATATAATGAAGAGACAAAGACATACAAACAAAATAGGTGTAAGAAAAGATATCATGAGGATTGCCTTCTGTAAGAAATATAAAACTTTGATAGAACGGAAACAAGGAAGGATTTTCTCCAAATAGCATAGGCATCACCACAAATTTATTATTTAAAGCGAAGGTGCTAGGAGTGAATAAAAATGGATATTACTCCATACGCACCTTTTGGTTCCATCTAGAAGTCTGTTAAGTATTCTGGTAATAACTGAAGTAGAGTTATTTCGAAAATAAGAATAGGGGTTTATAGCGTTAAATAAACTAAATTGCATTTATTCGATGATTAAGAATGATGAAAATCATTAAAATGACTACAATTCTTGGCAACGTCATGATTGAAACTAAAACCATTCGGATTTGAGGAAAAGAATCATTAACAGGTGAGAGAAACATGACTGGATCAACACCAATAACATTTGAACTGATTGTCAAATAATATGAACCTGATGATTCAAACACATACAACACTGATCTAAATTCGGGCCAGTTTCGAACTGAATCAGGTATTGCATTTGTCAATTTGAACATCTTTAGTGCATAGAAAACCACAGATAACCATTATACATGAAGAGCAACGAGAATTATTAAATTTTTTTTTAAAAAAAATAAAAAATAAAAAGAAGTAGAAGGCCTAAGAAGACTTGGAGAGAGACAACTAATTAACACATGATACATATTACACCAGTAACTGTTTTTTTATTCATATAACTTACTATCTAGACTCATCGTTAATTTGGGATACAATGAACTCAATTGTCATTTTTTTTTTCTTTTGAGTTACCAGAACACACAGAGACTATCAGGTCAAAGTAGCATTAGAACAGTGGTTTCGACTCTCGAGAACAATATACACGTAGCATAAATTCTATATTAATCAGCAAAGTTGTGGTGTGAAAAGGTTAAACAGGGAAAAGAAATAACAACCGTGGTCTTGTAGACACACTGACTGGGCATAAATGCTCTCAAAAAAATTATTAACAGCCATGTTGTTCAACATGGATTTAAACAAACATGATAATCTATAGAATATACACAATATATCAAGTATCTTGAAACATTTTTAATGCAATTGACATTGATACACTGAGCAGGAAGTTTTCAGCAAACACATCTGTAACAGTTATGGTGTCCTTACCTGGTAGTCTTCCTTCTTCTGGGCATTGGTCAGGCACGTCTACATCGACTCTTCCATACTTCATCGGGATCTTGGGTCCACCAGCTTCCTACAATGAAACACTTGAATATGACTAAATTCTGCAAAAGTAACAGCAGTTGAAAGTAAGACTGAATTACCTCTATTGCAGTTGCGCTTGCCAACTGGAACAAGTCAGCATAAGTAACACCGGAATATTTGTCCTTGATAGGCTGAAGAAGCTTGAGGGCATTTACAAGTCCTGCGTTCCATCTTATAAGAAAACACGAAACTAAAATAGGCAGTATAAAGTTGCAAAGTGGAAAAGTACCAGCATTTGCGGCATGTTTCAGTTCAATTTCAAATCTTAGACTTCCGTTAGCTCCACCTCTTTGTGGCCACTCTTCTATGTTCTTGTTGTATGTACCAGCATCGTGCCAACCCAACCGAACCTTTTTCATATAAGCACAAATAACAATTCAGGAATTTTAAATTCACCCGCACAAGCCACGATAAAACTTTTAGTACACTCTCTTCTGCTAAACTAGAGAGTTTTTAATCTTGCACATGAATTATCTTTATCTTTCTCCATCCTTCCAACTCTATCTCACTTCCCTACTCGTGTTTTCATTTTCCTAGGGGGTATGATATTGATCTTTTATGTCAACGAATCAGTACCAAGGTTATCACTAAGCTCAGGACAGAGGAAGTACGATTTAGCCCGTTTTCTAATGATTTCTTCATCATCACATCAAATAACATAACTAATTTTCATAAAATATAGTTTCCTTTAGTTCCTTAGTGCCAAGTCAAGCTCAACTCGAAAACCTTACAAACCACAGAGAAGCAGTACCTCACTTTTCCCGCGGAGGGTATAAAGTCAAAGAGAACGACAATGAATCGACCATCCATGATAGAAACAAGTATTTTACGGCCGCAGAAACCTTTTTCAAATAGATATTTCACTTCCTAATTAATTGATTATAGTTTCATATTCAAAACTCCATTAAGATGGTCAGCATCATGTTTAACTTGCTAAGTACGATTAACCGCCGACATCATAAAAAATGGAAACCTTCCATATGCTTAATTTATTAAATGATCGTCCTAGGCAGCTGAAAAAACCTCTGCTAATCGGCGCATTTTGCATCTTTCAACTATACTCAGAGATTGTCAGACAATTTTTGCGTTTTCAAACTGATTCAATAATGGAAAATCCAAACGCCGATGCAATGGAGGACAGTAAAAAAAAGAAATTACCATAATTGGATGGCAATATTTAGTTCGTAGTAGCTCCTTGATCTCCTCCCTGGCTTTCTTCAACTGCTCGGGGTCGGAAGCGACGCATTTCGGCGTCACAGAAACGGTACTGTAACTTGACCTTCCCTTCCATACTCCACTCTTCTGCAAATTCAAATTAAAACCAAAATAAAAAACATAAAATTAAAGATTCATCAGAAAGGAGCAAAACGGAAGAAGAGGCAACTGGAGGAGTCGAAAGTAGACCTTGGAAAGAAAGAGGCGGGAGACGAGAGGAGAAGATCCTAAGAATTTGACGGAATCTGAGGAATAAGTGGAGAAGGAGAGCTTGGAAGTGGTGGTGGCGACGGCGGTGGCGGAAGGGAGGATGCGGGTGGCGGCTGAACTGAGATTTAAGGAAGCCATATTTGATTGAATTACCGGAAAAAAAAAAAAATTGTCTGTTCAGTGAGTCAGTGGTGCAGCGTCTCGTGTGGATTTTTTGTGCTTTATTTTGGTGGATTTTGTTGGGGTTCGTGGTGGCTGTGCGCTTTTTGGTCTTGTTTTGTTTGTTGATTAGGTGTGTGCTTATGATTGGCTGGATTGGTGTGGATCCTTCTTACGGGTCAAAGCATCATGCCGAACTGTAATCTGGAATCTTTTTAGTTCATACTTCATATTATTCCCCCTATTGAGCCACAAATTTGTGGACTTTTCTCACTACTAAATGGGACAAAAAGAAAAAAAAAAGAAAAAGAAAAATTTGTTCTACAATTTCACGGCCTGCATAAGTCAGTGGGGAAATGATAATTTGATTATCTTCTTGAACATCGATGCCACATTGCAAAATCTTGTGATAAATTTTTCTAATTAACATGATTGATAGAATGTAAATAGATGTTATAACCAAATTATTAAATACATTTAATTGTATGAGTAAGCATATAGTTTTTTTTTTTTAAAAAAAGTACATGTAACTTTTATTAATTAGAAATACCTAAACTATTCCTTTGCACCTGACTATAAGTTAAATTAAGTAATTCAAAAACATCTTGCCAAACAACTTTAAACAGTTTGCAAGATTGAAAAGAAACTATAAGCGTAATTAAAAAAAAAAACTATTTCTTAGGCTTTTGTGGGGTTTAATTCCTCCATAAGATCTCAAGTTAAGGTCTGAGAGTTTGTGTGAACTTTCACTAGAGATAGTCCCAAAATCGATGCTTGTTGGAGGGCTGAAAAACAAGTCATTGTCTCCGTTTGAAAAGATGAGAGATCGCACATACCAATTGACCTAATTTGTATAACCATAAAAGATATTTCTATAATTATGAATGGATATGGAAGTATGAAGTTTTAGGTAATTAACTAATATATAATAGGCTTTTCATCTAATGTTTAATCAAATGATATTCAATAATGTGTTTCTAATAGATATATGGTACTGTGTATATATATCATTTAGTACTAAATAAACAGTTTCCCTATGTATATTTAGGTATATTTGTTATAAATATAGTATGTTTGTACTTTTAATTGCATATGTGGTTATCCATATATATATATATTGTATATACGGTGTTAATTAAATTATGTAGATAACAATAAAATTCATTTACTCTTACATAATCATTAAGCATTAACAATGATTCGTTCCAAGTGAACAACTGATCGATGATAACAATAATAATATAGTATTATTACTTTTAAGTTAGCTAATAATGGATAATGTTTGTGACATTTACGATTTGAGAAGTACTCGTTAATTATATGCTATTAATTTATAATTAATAGTACAGTTCACTAATAACATCATTTTTTTCAAATAATTTTCATTTTCATGTTCATTTATACTAAAGTGAAACATCAATTTGGGACGGATTTCGTATGCTTGTGTATATATCATACTATTTGGGTTAAAATTAAAATACAAAAATTATTTATTAAGGGTGTAAATGAAAAAAATTTCATTACCAAATGGTTCAAATAAGAGAAAGAAATTGTAGGGTGGCATTTTATAAATATTAGGGTGGCTAGTTTGTAATTATCATAGGGTCAATATAAAATTTAGTTATTTTTTTTGTGTGCAAAATAAAAAAAGTCAAAACAAGAAACATGGACTAAATAAGGCCTAAAAAAAGGGGAGAAAAGTCCCGCTGAAACCAAAATTTTTTGGCACTTTTGGCTAAAACCCACCCCGCTTTTGGCATTGTCAACAACCCCCCCCCCCCTCCCCCCCGCGCGCTTTTGGTTATACCCCCAAGTCTGTCTAACACTTAGCCATTTTTCCCAATTTGTCCTTAGGCGTTCTGCGTTCCCAAACCAGACGAATCTGTTGCTGCTCATCAGACCCAAATCTTTCCAATCTGCTGCTGAATTGGTTGCCGGCATACTCTTCCAATCTGTTTCAGGCATCCTCTTGTAACGGGAACCCTAGTTTTATACAAATCCGAAAAGCCATCTTCTTTCAATCAGTTGCCCTAATTTCATCCCCAATTTCAGAAAGGTGTCCAGATCTCTGTCTTTCATCAATCCTTTGAGGTGTCTTCGAAACTAATAAGGGAAATCGACCGTTCTTCTGTAACCTCTGTTACTTATTCGGGGCAGGCATTCTCTTCTTTAGTTGTACAGAACATACCATTCTTCTTTGGTTGTACAAATTCGACTTATTGAATACTCCTATGTGCTTAACTTTGATTTTCTGTCTAACCGAGTTGCATGATGCATATTGGGCACAATTTTTAGGGTTTTTTTCTTTGCATAATTAGACATCCGTCATATTCCCCCCCCCCCCACCCGATTCAATGCAGACGGTTCTTTCATTTGAAGAATTTTTTTCAGGAATTGTAATTTATTTGCAAATTTTGTTATCTGTACTTGGTGACAACAATGTTGTTTCTGTTTTACCTTGGTGACAACATTGCATGTTTGATCAACTTCCATTGTAGATTCTGTTTACCTCTATTGACCTAATGCAAATTAATTGTTTGCCAGCATTCTTCATGAGTTCCATCAGAGACTGATGCATGTTAGCTACGTTTTTGTGGGGGGTGGGGGTTTCTTTTTATAATTAGACATCCGTCATATTGTGCAATTAGGTCTGTGCATTATTTGGTTAGTTATTGAGCATGATGCTTTTGAAGTCCTCCTTAGTTGGCGATAATAAAATTTCAAAAATCCTCATTAGTTGGCGATCTGGTTTTAGAAATCCTCCTATGATGGTTATCTGATTTTAGAATTCGTACTCTGTTGGCTATCTGATTTCAGATTAGATTTTAGCTTTGCGCCTAAATGTTGTTTTCTTTATAGTAGCTGGTTTAATGTGTGCTTTAGGTTAGGCAAAATCAGATAATTAGCATGTGGAAAAGATTTTAGATCAGATTTCCTTCTATTCTCTCTGTTGGCTATCTGATTTCAGAATAGATTTCAGTTTTGCGCCTAAATGTGGTTTCTTTATAGTAGATGGTTTAATTTGTGTTTTAGGTCAGAACAAACAGTTCCTGCTTTTGGTTTACTGTGTGCTTTGCAGCATCTATAAAATTTGTTTATTTTGAAATCTGATTGAAGAGTACACACTGTGGAGTTCTCATCATCCAGCTAGTGAAAGTTGGTGATAAAAAGTTTAAGCTGTGATCAAGTTAGTAGTTCTTTCACTTATCACTTTTTGTTGTGACATGTAGGACATGTGTTTTGATGCATTGAATTTGTAGTGAAGATGTATTAAACTGCGCTTGAAAATGACTGATTATACATGATGCCTTTTCTTTCTTTTTTTTTAATGATGAATGGCCATCAATGAGCTCTTCATAAATAAATTTATTTGATGCATGCTGCTATGTTGTTCTGTTTTAAATATTATGTGATTCCATGCCATGTAATGGTATTTTTTAAATGATATTTTGATGAAATGCATGTGATCTAATTTCCAAATGTATTTATGTGATGCTGCAAATTAAACCTTTCTTCTCTTTGCTGTGTTCTTTTGTGTGGTGAATATGATATTGTTAGTAGTGGATTAGGTCACATTTTAATGGGTGAATTATTCTGAACCTTACTAATTTTGAATATCTAGATGAAAACTGACCATCAGTGGATGTATGAGAGACATTTAGAAGGGAGTAGGTCCATAAATCTCGATTTTGTTGCCGGAGTTGAGTCGTTCATTGAATTTGCTTGTTCAAAACCCCCTTTTACGGACATTGATAAGATACGGTGTCCTTGCTGTAAATGTTAGAACAAAAGATATATTTTACCTGATGAAGCCAAGTTACACCTTCTTAAGAAGGTTTTTATTGACGACTATGATGATTGGATTTGCCATGGAGAAGACCAAGGGGTGAGACTTCATCGCAAATCCATCACAATGTTGGAAATTTATTGGGATCAAACACATATCGTGACATGGTCATAGATGTGATTGGTCCTCATTTTGATCAACACCTTGGGGAAAGTAGTGGTAATGAAGAACCCCCCGACCAAAAACTCAAAGATTGTATAACATGATCCAAAAGACCAATGACCCCTTATATCCGAGATGTTCAAAAGTCTCTCAACTGTCATATGTTGCTAGATTATTGAATATCAAATCACAACACGGGTTGTCCGAGAAAGCCTATGATGATATCTTGGAGTTATTCAAGGATTCAATTCCTCCCGAAAATAAATTGGTTGATAGCTTTTACGAAACAAAAAAGTTAGCTTCTGATTTGGATTTACCATGTGAGAAAATCCATTGTTGTGTGAATGGATGTATGTTATTTTGGGGTGAGCCTCATAAATTGCACAATTTGTGGCCATGCTCGGTATAAACCGCAAAATGAAGGTGCTAAGAGAAGAAAAACGGGAAAGCCATATAAAATCATGCATGATTTTCCTCTTACCCCTTGGCTTCAAAGGTTGTATTCTTCCGAAGCCACCGCAAAACACATGAGGTGGCATAAAGAGTATGATAAACTAAGGTATTATGCGTCATCCTTCGGATGGCGAGGCATGGAAGTATTTTGATGCAATAAATAGGTCTTTTGCATTGGAATCGAGAAATGTAAGACTCGGTTTATGCACGGATGGGTTTCAACCATTTGGCCAATTGGGGAAGCAATTTCTTGTTGGCCAGTAATTGTTACTCCATACAATTTGCCACCATGGATGTGCATGAAAGAAGAATATATGTTTTTAACCATTATTGTGCGGGGTCCGAGAAATCCGAAGAAAAAGTTAGATGTTTTTTTGCAACCTTTGATAGCCAAATTGTTAGCTCTTTGGGAAGGTGTTCCCACATATAATGGTTCTACAAAAACTAACTTTCATATGTGAGTCGGACTAATGTGGACTATTGGTGATTTCCCGGCTTATGGAATGTTGTCAGGGTGGAGTACCATGGGAAAGAAAGCTTGTCCATATTGTATGGAGAACTCAAAAGCCTTTCAACTAAAGAATGGCAATAAGCCGTCTTGGTTTGATTGCCATCACCAATTTTTGCCGGAGTCATCCTTTTAGAAGGAACAAAAATGATTTCACAAAAAATAGGACCCAAACATCTCTACCTCCTCCGACATTGACAGGTGAAGAAGTTTTAAGAGAAATTTCAGCTTTGGGATTAAAGAAAATTACCGAAGTTGATGGGGAAATGTTAAATGCTCCCATATGCAAGTCTT